CTTTGAGGTGTTTCTAGCTTGCTTTCAAAGTTCAACAGACTTAGATTGCAAGATATAGCAAGGTCACCTTTCAGTTCTCAAAGATTGCCGTGCACGACCGTTGAACCAGGTCAAGCTGCTCGGGCACTTGCTCAAGCTGCTCGGCCCTGGCACCACCAGAATGGGCGACCAGTGGAAGTGTAAATTATGTTTGTTTCGATGTGTTTGTTTTTGTTTCTAAAGATAGGATTTGTGAACTCTCGCCTAACTTGCCCCAAAGGACCCTTGGCGATGTTCAAAGTTGTTCATGGGCGTCATGGTGTGTTTTTCTCATGGAAGACTCTCTTGGAGTATGTTGCTGGCACTTCAGCGTACTTGGTCACTTCAAATGTTCGGAGCTCGACCATGACAGGAGCCGCTGAACCCACTGAAGCAACCCCAGGACCCTGCAGGGCCTCCACACCACGCGGTTCCGCCTTCCAACCGTCCAACAACTCGCCGCCACCACAAACGAACGACCTCCAGCGGACCTCGGCAGCCGTGAGACGGCTGGAGCCGAGGCTTGGCGATACTTCTTCTCCCGAGAGATGCGCTTCTTGGGCCTAAATAGAGAGAAGCGTGGAGAGAGGTCCTGCCATGCCGGAAATGGAGATATATTGTTTGAGGGAGTCGGAAAGTAACAAAAGATTGTCATTACGATTCAGAAGTTTACAACGACTTCTGGAGCCAAACTGATATTCGAACCTTTAGTCCGACACACGTTCAAGGCGCTGACTCCACTGGCCAGAGCTCTGTTCCTCCACAAGCAGAGGCGGAAGACGGTAGACACATGCGGAAACGGGAGATTGGCATGAAAGGAGTTCAATGTGGTTCAAGATGAACATACTCTTCTTCTAGAACCTCTTGTGGAAGCAAAGTCTGAGATATATACTGTACCATATGCTCAGTCCCATGTTTTGACACGCTCCCATGTCAAACAGAGCCACGTTGGAAAGTTCCGCAGAGTTTTGCGTGTTCATCTTGGAACTAGGCACCAAGCACGCGTTCCAGGGCAGTTCCAGCCGTGGGGATCCAAGTTTCAAGAGGTCGTGGCAGCGCCGTGTCGTTTTAGCCATGAAGTCGAGGTGCCGCAAGTGAGACCGGGGCATGGAGCGCGCGTAGGTATGTTTTCGGCTCGTTTCGATGGCGGCGAAATTGAACAGCGGTTTCGCCGCATCCATGAGATCTTAGCCCAAAGTGGCTATGACATCATGATGGTGGGCGTTCACCCAGGGGAAACCTTTGGTGTTCCCACCACTCGGTACTTGGGCCGTTTGTATCGTGAACGGGGCGTTATGCTGTGTGTTTGTACCGAACATTACGGCGAGATGACGTCCTCGCACTTCTCCAGCTTTGAAGAGCTGATCTTCGCGAAGACCTACGAAGCTTTTATCAAGATTGTTCCATTGCGGATGGGAGCGGTTTATCCTCCCATGCCTCCAGGTAGAGGAGCCAATGGGCCGAATCGGCCCGATCATTTAGATGAGCATTTGGATGGTCAGAGCTTTGCCACATCGGTCTTCAACCCCGCTCGGCTCTATCTCGATTGTCGAGAGAAGTCGGATGTGGAGATTGCTGCGGCCATCGCGGAGTGCTTGCACCACTGAGCTCTACCGGATTTTTTCTGTGTGACCTGTTAGATGATGTTAGATGATTAGATGAAGTGTAAGCAGTCACCCTGGAGACCCTACGAAGAAAGGGGGCATTTCTCAGCAAGCTTCATTGGAGGACTTTAATATCGGTTACATTTGGTTACCATAAAGAGTTAGAGCTGTACCTTAGAGCGCAGATGGGAAATACTTTCACAAGTGATCACATGCAACCACAACATTTGCAAGACATGTTGCTACCTTCTATTCGATCATGTCAACTTCCAGCCATATTTGCATGAGAGCCAGGGACTGGCCGCGCCGAGCGTTTTGCAAGAAAGTGTTGCAGGAGACAGGAGATGGCATGTAGGAACACTGGGTCAAAGTGTTCAATGAATGTTCAGGGATGGCGATGCATGTTGTGACCTTTGTCTCTATCCGGTGGATTTCAGTGCGTAGTGACGTTTGCAAGTGCAGTGGGTAGATGTTGCTGGACACCAGGCAGAAAGTAAGGTATGGGATTTATTGGTGCCCATATAGCTGCTTGTCACAATGAGTCTACTTATTTGCCGAAATGTTCTCAGGAATTGTGTCCCTTCAGCAGGGCTGGTTTGCCATCGGTGAACTGAACATGTCTTAGGCGTTTGTCTACTAATCACACTACAGCGACATCGTCAAGGACTTTGCGCAGCCAGATCCAGTTGACATACCGAAGAAGCCGGCCTTGCAGAGTCACGGTTTGACAAAGTCACGCTGAAGCGAATGTTGCTGTCCAAGAGCCAATCTCTCCTTTTCATGTAGTCTTTCATGCGCACTATTGAGAAGAATGATTACAATCTAGAGCTGTTATACATGCAACCTGTCCCACCGGAAGTTGATATCGAAATCATTTGGCGGTCTTGGAGTTTGCTTTGCTTTCGCTATTTGTTTCACCGCTGACCAACTCAATGACGAAGTGAACAAAATCCTTGTCGCGCTTGCGAGAGCTATGAGCCGCCCTTGGATCATTTGTTTGGTGAATATGCTTTGCAATCTGAAGTTCTAACCTATTCAAACCTGCCAAAGCTTACGGAAACATGTTTACCTCTCCACCCGAATCGACCTCTCCAACCGAAAAATCCTGGGCCAGCGCCGCAGATCGGACGCCTCTCTCGGTGCCACCCGCGGCGACGCTCTCGGCTCGGGCCGAATGGCGGATACGCTCCTCATGGCGCCCAACGGGCTCGACGCGGGCGGTGTTGGAAAGGCGATTTCCGGAGCCAGCGGACCACGGTGATTCTGCCGCGAGCGGTGCTCAGTTGCAGTGGAGGGAAGTGATTGGGGCGGTATCAAGTGAGGGCCAGCTTGCTTTGCATCGAGGTGGGTTTTTGGTAGTTTGGTGTGGTTTTGTACGTCATATAATAGGAAGCGATTCTGTGGCACTTTGGAGATGAGGGAGGGAGATCCAGGCACGAGTTGCTGGGCCGAATCACCAACGATTTCGGATGATTTCGGGTCATGTAAACCATGGAACTGTGGGACCAAGAAGGGCGGGTGGGAAGATCGATCCACCATGCCAGTGCGAAAAAGGTCTGGGGGTCGAAGGATTCAGAGAACTCTGACAACTTCAAAACTGTGTGCTCTGCTGCTAATTGCCCGAGCCAAAAAGTGTGCCTGCAGTCATCATTTGCGGTTTAATGGGGTCCAAGAGTGAGAGGTTGATGTTCGGAGCGGTCTGTGAGGACCCCCACGACCGATATGCCCAGCATATCCAAAGTGAACAGCTTGTAAAGGTGATGAGAAAAGGCATCTTCACCTCCAGTTAACGATTGTAACACTCAAAATGTATCGGAATTGGGTTGAAATCCAACGGTTTTTGTATTCCGATCCGATCGAGTCCACAGAGTGCGGGTCCGAGCTGCAACAAGTCCGAGCTCGGCCGTGCTGAGGATGGGACATCCGGAGAGTAGACTGTGGATGATACCTTTTTTCCCAAATCCTGGCCTAAAAGACCATCCGGTGCCTCAAGAGCAGCTCAAGCTGCCGGAACTGAGGGCCGAGCCGGCCCGCCAAAAGCATAGGGATGTCTCCCATGCTTGAGTGCCAGCTGGCACCATCGTTTATCTAAAATCTGAAGACGACACTCTTCAGTTTCGTCGTGCGGAGAAAGGGATCCAGATAAATACGCATCCCTACATTGCCGGGAGCCATGCCGCAAGTGCTGAACAACGCGGCCACGAAAATGAAAATCATAAATCAAATGATGGAATTCACTACAGTGACTTCATCACTGGAACAGTTAACCTGCAAGCTTTGGCCACTCAACGCCACACTTCGCTGTGCTTTCGCTGTTCTCCACCAAGAAGACCACTCGTTGAATCCCATCTCAAGATGTCCTAAGACTGGTAACTGGTAGGTCGTGAAGGTCATGAATCCTATAGCCCTGGTGAAGCAGACTGAGCTCCGCCAATTGACTCCAATGGCGGGGGAGGGCCATGGATTTCCATGCTGAAATGAGCAGTTTCGCACACAAGTTCCGTGCGAGTGTGTTCTACGCTTCAACTGACATGCAAGGAGGCACGGAGTGACCTGGATTTGCTGGATTGTTGGGAATTATTTGTGAAACTTATCACAGCACCAAGACAATCTCCCTTTGTTCAACACCATGTTGGGCAAATATATTGAATCTCCCATATGCAGTTGCACAGTTTAGTTTAGAGTTCAGAGTATCTTTATTGAACACATACCATATTTGTTTCGCTTCGGGCTGACAAAGTGATTCTGGTCGAGCCCAAGTTTTGTGGGGCGTTTTCTTTCCAAGAGGTGAACTCCATCGAGGAGTAGAAAAGCAGTCTATAGACATGATCGATCCACTAAAACCGGTTGTTGGGATCCATGTTTTTGCCAATTTTTGTTGAGGTTTTTGCATCGGAATGTCCATTTGGATCCATCATTGAGGATGAATCCTCTTTTTCTTGGAAGATCAGCAGCCTCGAGAAGGTTAGCAGGTTCATGGAACCGAGTGGCCGGGTGATTGTGTTTCCACATCTTCACGCATATAGAGCTGGACATCACCTGGTGCCATTGAGGTCTAGATTCGTGCAAGGGTGGGGACTGAATTCTTGATGACCTTGCCGGAATCATGCTGATCTGATTGGTTATGATTGATTGTTTCAAAGAATTCCTGGAGCAGCACATCAGCACATCCAGATGTTCCGTTGCTCTTCAAGGCGTCAAACAGACAGAGTCGCCCGAGCGTGGAAAAGGCGACGGCCATGCTCAATTGTCCTCGTTGCCGTTTGAGTTCATTGGAGTCAGATTTGGTTCCTCTCAGATTTGGTACCTCCAAAATTTGGATTTCTTGGAACGCCCACAGGGCCCACAAGGCACTTGATGTCCAGCTGATGTCGGCGCAGCCTGTGCCTCAAGAGACCCGCCGCGCCCGCGTCGGTTTTGGACCTCCCTCCAAGCGTCAGCGACATGGCTCATCCTGTGACAGAGGCAGTTGACTGCAATCACCG